CGTTAATGACGCCCCAAATGCAGTTCACAAACACTGCATTTGCTGGCACGGCGATCTATTTGCAATGTGTTTTAAAGAGTGTGGGCACTACTTTTGGTGCGGTGTGCTGTGATTATAACTCATTCAAAGTGAATGGAATGAAATTGTGCCACATAGAATTACACGTGAATCATACGTTGGGGCAGGCTCCTAATGAGACAACGGATGGTGTCCTGGGGGATTTCCTCCCAGATCTGGACCAGGGCATCACTGAGCTCCTAGACAGTCTGAGAAGCAATCTGGCGGCGTCGGATGGACTGAAACATGATATCCCAGAGATGTTCTATTGGATTTAGGTCAGGCGAGTGTGGGGGCCATTCAATGGTATCAATTCCTTCATCCTCCAGAAACTGCCTGCATACTCTCTCCACATGAGGCCGGGCATTACCATGCACCAGGAGGAACCCAGGAACCACTGCACCAGTGTAGGTTCTTACAATGGGTCCAAGGATTTCATCCTGATACCTAATGGCAGTCAGGGGGCCATTGTCTAGCCTGTAGAGGTCTGTGCGTCCCTCCATGGATATGCCTCCCCAGACCATCACTGACCCACCACCAAAATGTTCATGCTGAACGATGTTACAGGCAGCATAATGTTCTCCACGGCTTCTCCAGACACTTTCATGTCTGTCACATGTGCTCAGGGTGAACCTGCTCTCATCTGTGAAAAGCACAGGGTGCCAGTGGTGGACCTGCCAATTTTGGTGTTCAATGGCAAATGCCAATGGAGCTCTATGGTGCCGGGCAGTGAGCACAGGGCTCACTAGAGGACGTCAGGCCCTCAGGACACCCTCATGAAGTCTGTTTCTGATTGTTTGGTCAGAGACCTTCACACCAGTGGCCTGGAGGTAATTTTGTAGGGCTCTGGCAGTGCTCATCCTGTTCCTCCTTGTACAAAGGAGTAGATATCAGTCCTACTGATGGGTTAAGGACCTTCTACGGCCCTGTCCAGCTCTCCTAGAGTAACTGTCGGTCTCCTGGAATCTCCTCCATGCTCTTGAGACTGTGCTGGGAGACAGGCCCGGACTGGGACATAACATAGGCCAGGGCATTTTAAACTGAGCAGCCAAGGAACCGGGGTGAGGGGAAGGGTGAGGAATGAGGTGGTGGGTGGGTGTTCATGGGGGCGGTTGATGACAGGATGTTCACGGAGTCTGGGTCCTCTGCAATGTGATGTAAAGGAGCACTGTGATATAAAAGGGAACTGCACTGTAAAGGTGCACTGTTTTGATTGGACTGCCCCTAGCAATCACAGAATCATAGCTCCCCCATATCACAGTGCCCCTTGCAGTTACGCCCCCATATTCTCTCTAATCAGACTGCCCCCTTTTACTCCCCTTTTACTCTCTGCCTCCCTTGCACAGTTCTACCTTTGGCAAAGAGACATCCCCATATGTTCAGCAAAGAGACATCCTAATCCAACAAAGAGAAATCCCCATCTAGAAAAGAGACATCCCCATCCAGCAAGGAGACATCCCAATCCAGCAAAGAGACATCCCAATTCAGCAAAGAGACAGTCCCATTGAGCTAAGAGACATCCCAATCCAGCAACGAGACATCCCATTCCACCAAAAATACATTCCATTCCAGCAGAGACAGCTCCATATAGCAAAGAGATGGCCCAGTCCAACAAAGAGACAGCCAAATCCAGCAAAGAGATAGCTCCATATAACAAAGAGACAGCCTAATCCAGCAAAGAGACAGCCCAGTCCAGCAGAGAGACAGCTCCATATAGCAAAGAGATGGCCCAATCCAGCAAAGAGACAGCCTAATCCAGCAAAGATACATCCCAATCTGGCAAAGAGACAGTCCAATCCAGCAAATAGCTCCATATAGCAAAGAGACAGCCCAGTCCAGCGCAGAGACAGCCCCATCCATCAGACAGCTCCATATAGCAAGGAGATGGCCCAATCCAGCAAAGAGACAGCTCCATATAGCAAAGAGATGGCCCAATCCAGCAAAGAGACAGCCTAATCCAGCAAAGAGACAGGCCAATCCAGCAAAGAGACAGCTCCATATAGCAAAGAGATGGCTCAATCCAGCAAAGAGACAGCTCCATATAGCAAAGAGACAGCCTAATCTAGCAAAGAGACATCCCAATCCAGCAAAGAGACAGCTTCATATAGCAAAGAGACATCCCAATCCAGCAAAGAGACAGCTCCATATAGCAAAGAGACAGCCCCATCCATCGCAGAGACAGCTCCATATAGCAAAGAGATGGCTCAGTCCAGCAAAGAGACAGCCCAATCCAGCAAAGAGACAGCTCCATATAGCAAAGAGATGGCCCAATCCTGCAAAGAGACAGCCCAGTCCAGCAAAGAGACAGCTCCATATAGCAAAGAGACAGCCCAATCCAGCGCAGAGACAGCACCATCCATCAAAGAGACAGCTCCATATAGGGAGAAGATGGCCCAATCCAGCAAACAGACAGCTCCATATAGCAAAGAGACAGTCTACTCTAGCAAAGAGACAGCCCAGTCCAGCAGAGAGACAGCTCCATATAGCAAAGAGACATTCCAATCCAGCAAAGAGACAGCTCCATATAGCAAAGAGAGAGTCCAATCCAGCGCAGAGACAGCCCCAATCAGCAAAGAGAGGGCCCAATCCAGCAAAGAGACAGCCCAATCCAGCAAAGAGATGGCTCCATATAACAAAGAGATGGCCCAATCCAGCAAAGAGACAGCCTAATCCAACAAAGAGACATCCCAATCCAGAAAAGAGACATCCCAATCCAGCAAAGAGACAGCTCCATATAGCAAAGAGACAACCCAATCCAGGAAGGAGATGGCCCAATCCAGCAAAGAGACAGCCTAATCCAGCAAAGAGACAGCCTAATCCCCGCCTCCCACACACACACACACCGCTGCTACAGAGCAGGATGTGTGGCTGCACTGCGCTCACCTTCCTCCGCTGTGCATCCGTCATGGTCTCATGCAGTGTATTTCCAGCCTGGAAGGTATGTGTTCCCTGCTAGCAGGTCCTCTTCTGCACCTCGTAGTTTTATGGAACTGGTTCTGCTGTAGGCAAGGCCGCAGAGCAGGAGGCGAGCGGCAGCCATGGTCTCTGTTAATCCTGTCCAGGCAGCAGTCACCACTTACCTACTGCTATGCGGCCTTGCCTACAACAGGGCCGGTTCCAGCAAACTACGGGGGCCCGGTCATCCACAGGCCACTCTTCCTAGGACATGCGGCCCTGGCCCAGCAAGCAAATGCCCGGTGTGCCCTATGGCCAGTCTGGGCCTACTGGGAGACATGGCAAACCTTCTGCACGTATTGATGTGCCATCCTGGAGGAGTTGGACTGCCTGTGCAACCTCTGTAGGGTCCAGGTATCGCCTCATGCTATCAGTAGTGACACTGACCCTAGCCAAATGCAAAACTAGTGAAAAACAGTCAGAAAAGAGGAGTAGGGAAAAAAATGTCAATGGCCTCCACCTGTAAAACCATTCCTGTTTTGGGGGTTGTCTCATTGTTGCCCATCTAGAGCACCTGTTGTTAATTTCATTAACACCAAAGCAGTTAAAACTGATTTTCAACCCCTTCTGCTACTTAACTTTAATTGTTTTGAGCAGTGTATGTACACAGGGACAGTTCTATACTATTTTTTGCACCCTAGGCAAGACCAGCTACTTGCACCCCCAATCCCCCTCTTCTAGTGTAAATCCCCCCCAATCCCCTCTCCTAGCACAACCCCCCTCCTGGCACAAATCCCCTCCAATCCTCCCTTCTAGCACAAACCTCCCTCCAATCCCCCCTCCTAGCACCAATCCCTCCTCCCAGCCAATCCTTTTCCTTCAATCCCCCCACCTAGGACCAATTTCCCCAAATTACCATTTCTAGCACAATCCCTTCCCCCCAACCCAAATCCCCCTCCTAGCACAATTCCCCCATCTCCTCCTTCTAACACACATCCCTCTCTTCTAGCATAAATCCCCCCCAATCCCCTCTCTAGCACAGCCCCCCTCCTAGCACAAATCCCCCACAATCCTCCCTCCTAGCACAAACATCCCCCTCCTAGCACCAATCCCTGCCATCCCCCCTCCTAGCACAAATCCCCCCAATCCCTCCACCTAGCCAATCCTTTTCCTTCAATCCCCCCACCTAGGACAAATGCCCCCAAATCCCTACTCTAGCTAAATTAACCTTCCCAGTATAAAATCCGCCCACTTTACCCAAATTACCCCCCCCTTTAGCACAAATCCCCCTCCCAAAAACCTCCCTCTTACTCCTAACACATGTCCCCCAATTCCTTCTCCTAGCACAAATACCCCCTCCCCCCATCATCCCCATTACCCTTCCCAGCACAAATAGCCCCCATCCCCCCTCTTGCACAAACCTCCAATCTCAGCACAAATAATTGTTACCCCCCTTCTTTCATTGTCTACAGTTCCCCCAGCCTGGTAGCTCCTCCCCAAACTTCCAGACGGGAAACCAGGTAGAGGTGCCGGCTGTGCTCTCACTCCTGTCATTGGAGTGATCCTCCATACAGCAGATGACACAGGATCGCTCTTGGAATCCGGCTGTACACAGTTTGATTACCCCACCCCCTATCTCCTCCAATGACCGCTCCTCTCCCGGCAGCAGGGAGCCAGGGAATGACTCAAATACTGAACATGTCAATGTAAGAGTGATCCTGTGTCATCTACTTTATGGAGGATCACTCCACTGACAGGAGAGGAGAGCACAGCCCGCACCTCCCACCTCTCTCCTGTCATTTCTCCAACCCCAGCACCCCCCTAAATCTGGCCATGGTGGACAGCAGGGAAACCAGTGGCCGAGGCTGCACCCTAGTCAGCTGCCTAGTTCTCCTAGTAGTAGCACTGACCCTGTATATACAGTATATCAGACCTAAAAGAGGGACTGTTTGCTGCAGAGAGCAGAAAGATGGAGGGATTCTGGTCAGAAAGAGGGATGTTTGGAAGGTATGATTACAATTCTCCTATTGTCTCCGGTTTTTCTGCAGGGCTTTGAGTGGGACCTGAAAGGCGTTCCTCTGGATACAAATGCTGAACTCCATGCTGTCGTCAAAGACCATGAGACGATGGGGAGAAACCGGTAAAGTGTCTATATTTATTATTCTGATTTGATGTATATTATTAGTCTGTGTACACACAGGTATATTTTATAGCTGAAGTTTAGCTATGGCAATTTTACCATAATTACATTGGCCAGCTTGGATCAATGTAAACATGTGTGTGCTATACAGTGCCTTGAAAAAGTATTCATACCCCTTGAAATTTTCCACATTTTGTCCTGTTACAATCAAAAACATAAATGTATTTTATTGGGATTTATTGTGATAGACCAACACAAAGTGGCACATAATTGTGAAGTGGAAGGAAAATGATAAATGGTTTTCTAAATTTTTTACAAATAAATATCTGAAAAGTGTGGCGTGTATTTGTATTCAGCCCCCTTTACTCTGATACTCCTAACTAAAATGTAGTGGAACCAATTGCCTTCAAAAGTCACCTAATTAGTAAATAGAGTCCACCTGTGTGTGAATCTGTCTACAGGACAACTATTAGTCATGCACTCCACAAACCTGGCAAGAAGAAAGCCATTGTTTAAAGAAAGAAATAAGAAGTCCGGTTTGCCGTTTGCGAGAAGCCATGTGGAGGACACAGCAAACATGTGGAAGAAGGTGCTCTGGTCAGATGAGACCAAAATTGAACTTTTTGTCCTAAAAGAAAAACGCTATGTGCTGCGAAAAACTAACACTGCACATCACCCTGAACACACCATCCCCACCGTGAAACATGGTGGTGGCAGCATTATGTTGTGGGGATGCTTTTCTTCAGCAGGGACAGGGAAGCTGGTCAGAGTTGATGGGAAGATGGATGGAGCCAAATACAGGGCAATCTTAGAAGAAAACCTGTTAGAGTCTGCAAAAGACTTGAGACCGGGGTGGAGGTTCACCTTCCAACAGGACAACGACCCAAAACATCCAGCCAGAGCTACAATGGAATGGTTTAGATCAAAGCATATTCATGTGTTAGAATGGCCCAGTCACAGTCCAGACCTAAATCCAATGGAGATACTGTGGCAAGACTTGAAAATTGCTGTTCCCAGACGCTCTCCATCCAATCTGAAGAAGAATGGGCAGAAATGTCCCTCTCTAGATGTGCAAAGCTGGTAGAGACGTCCCCAAAAAGACTTGCAGCTGGAATTGCAGGGAAAGGGGGTCCTACAAAGTATTGACTCCGGGGGGCTGAATACAAATGCCGCCACACTTTTCACATATTTATTTGTCAAACATTTTGAAAACCATTTCTCATTTTCCTTCCACGTCACAATTATGTGCCACTTTGTGTTGGTCTATCACATCAAATCCCAATAAAATACATTTACGGTTTTGGTTGTAACACGACAAAATGTGGAACATTTCAAGGGGTATGAATACTTTTTAAAGGCACTGTACCTGTAGGATCCCTTTGGAAGCTGGAAACCACTGAAGGACCGCTACTCCAGTGATCTCCACTAGCTTCTGGATCCAATGTTGAGCGACTGCCCTGCTGCACTGTGAACACAGGCGGTCGGCCACTCAGCACTGGTGCCATTCAGAGAACAATTTGTGTCTTCTCAATGAATGAAAAGCATTTTCTGATTCCATATAATTGTGCAATATACACTCACCAGCCACTTTATTAGGTTCACCTTGCTAGTTCTGGGTTGGACCCCCTTTTGCCTTCAGAACTGCCTTCATTCTTCATGGCATAGATTCAACAAGGTGTTGGAAACATTCCTCAGAGATTTTGGTTCATATTGAAATGAGTTACTGTTGCCTTTCTGTCATCTGCAACCAGTCTGCCCATTCTCCTCTGATCTCTGACATTAACAAGGCATTTTCATCCACACAACTGCCACTCACTGGATATTTTCTCTTTTTCTGACCATTCTCTGTAAACCCTAGAGATGGTTGTGCGTGAAAATCCCAGTAGTGAAATACTCAGACCAGCCCATCTGGCACCACAACCATGCCATGTTCAAAGTCACTTAAATCCCCTTTCTTCCCCATTCTGATGCTCAGTTTGAACTTCAAGTCGTCTTCACCACGTCTAGATACCTAAATGCATTGCTGGTATGTTATTGGTTGATTAGCAATTTGTGTTACCAAGCAATTGAACAGGAATACCCAATAAAGTGGCCGATGAGTGTAGACTTTCAGTGACAGAATTGTATGACCTATCGGATACATTCATGGGAAGGTTTTAGGAAATAAACAACTGTTTTCATGGAAGACAAAGGATCAGTCTTGGCAGAAAATTTCCTCAAACTCCACCAATTTTTTTTTTTTTTTGTGTCATTATTTTTGAGCATGATTGAATCCAGGGGCAGACTGACAACTCATGGGGCCCCCGGGCAATAGGGGATCATTGGGCCCCTGTGTCCTTGCCTAAACTCAAAAAAAACCTATGAAAAAAGGTACCAGGGGCATCTTATGGGGCCCCCCTACCGACCCCGGGCCCTGGGGCAGTGCCCGAGTTTCCAAATGGTCAGTCCGCCCCTGATTGAATCTATGATTTACTGTTTTTTGCAGAAACGCACTACAGTCCATTTAACATGGTGTCCTATGGAACACATTCACATCTATGCTTTTTTGAGCCGCTGCGTTTTTGGAAAGGGTCAGGGACTTTTTTTTAAAAGCAAAAAACAGCATTTTTGCTACAATAGAGTTCAATGGAGATGCTGCTGAAATGCATGGTAGTGTGTTTTTGCTTCGTTTTTGCTGCATTTTTATTCTGCCCAGTGACAGAAAAATTGCAAAACAAAGCAAAATGCATCAAAAACGCGTCAGAAAACGCAAAACAAACTGCAAAAAGCATCTGGAGAAAGCATCAAATGCAAAATGCACATATATGAAGCAAGCCTTACATACAGTATTACTACATTACCCGTACACTTCTCTGCCCTACCAAAGGGAACGCCTGCGTCAAAGGGAGGCGCAACTTCTTGCATGCATTGCCGCTTTGCGCTTTACGTTGGTCCTTCTATGTCGAGGTGTTGGCTGATGCAGGGTCAATGCCGTGGTATATGTTCTGAAGAAGAATCCAGGTTCACATTTTCCCTGGAGAGAAATGGGTTTAGAAATGCCTACCACGTTCTGTTACGAGCAGGGGCGGACTGACCATTTGGAAACTCGGGCACTGCCCGAGGGCCCGGGGTCAGTAGGGGGCCCCATGAGATGCCCCTGGTACCTTTTTCATAGGCTTTTTTGAGTTTGGGCAAGAACACAAGGGCCCCATGATCCCCTATTGCCCGGGGGCCCCATGAGTTGTCAGTCTGCCCCTGGTTACGAGTCTCAAAAACAATGGAAAAGTCGATGTTCCCCCAACATTATGGGCCAGCCTACGGGTTCATTTACACTGCAGCTGATAAACTCACGTTTAGGAGCTGTTCAGCGTTTTTTTCAGCAGCCCCTGAACTCTCCCTAATGTTTTCCTATGTGTCCATGTACACATCTTCATTTACAGTCATTTACAGGCATTTGAGTTTACAGTCTTTTTTTTAATGCAGAAAACTTGCATTCAGCAGTCGATTTTATCAGCGTTTCAAAATGCAAAACGCTTGTAAACGTGGCAAATCGCGTTTATAAGCGTATGCAAATTTTTTTTAACTTTTCCAGTTCCCAATGCTATCCAAAAGCCTTTTTTCATCATGAGAAATGCATGCAAAGCTTCTTCAAGATACTCAGATGGACAAAACACTGAACACAGGATGTTCCTACCAAGCTTGTCACACATTGTAATGAACAATTCACATCTCAGACCTCTCCCACCCTTGGAAACAAAAGATATGTTAATGACCATTCACACCTCAAATTCCTCATGAAGACCCCCTGCCAGGTGACCTTAATGACTCCCTCCACCAGACACCTTTCCCACCCTTGGAAACAAAAGAAATGTTAATGAGCAACTCACACCTAAGCTGATCTCAACACATACTGCTGTCTCTGCTTCTACTCTCTGTATTTCTCTGAAACAGTCTGAAATAGTTAATAATTTACCACTTTTTCAGTGCATTCTTGGCATTTGGGAGGTTCTCCTGTGCTTATCTTTAAAAATCGATTCTAAATGCAAACGCACATAAAGGCGTTATGCAAATGCGGCTAAACAGACGTTTTTTAACCTACATTTTCCAGCAGTCAGTTTCCATCGTTCAGAAGTGTCCTGTGTGCATGGGGCCTAATAGTCTGCTGAGTAATGAGCCTTCCATGAAAATGTCTTTCTTAGGAACTCAGCCAGCCAGTGTCCACTTCCTCTGTCCTATTTTTATTTCTGACTTGGATTTCCAGCGGCATGTTGTGGCCCGCCTGTCCCTTGTGGGCTTACCATCTCCCGTCCAAGCAGGGAGAACCTATTAAACAGCAGTCCAGGGCTGTAAGTATTGCAATCAGTAAACTGCTGATTCCATCCAGAGAACATTGCAAATGTGTTGAAGACACAATATCCCCGCAATTTACTTTTCATTTTATTTGATTATAATCCATTGTAGCATTCAGCATCATTCTACTGATGTGTAGAAGGAACAGCGAAAAAAATACGCTGCACTTCTTCCACTTTATTGATGTAATAATGAGATTATAAGCGCTAGTTTTAAAACGCGTTAACGTCTTTTGTTCCGGACACTGTATGTGATATTTCTTATGAATACATTAATAAAGTGGAAGAAGTGCAGTGGATTCTGGATTTTTTTGCTTTTCGTTTTTTTCGCTTTTTCTGTGTTGCTGCAGATGAGCTGTGCGTGCGCCTTCACTCATTCTGGTCGGTGGGATACGGGCTCTAATCACCTGGAGCAGCTTTGGTTGGTGGAGTGTAGAACTTGGGAATAGATCTTAATGGAAACTTGAGGCAAACTAGCATTTGAGCCAGTCAGCAGGTCAGTGGGGTCCACTGATAAGTAATCTGTATCTAAGGTGACAGTGTGTGTCTTGTCAGATAGTGGAGGAGGAAGCAGTGCTGGATCAGTAATCTGTATATAAGGTGGCAGTGTGTGTCTTGTCAGATAGTGGAGGAGGAAGCAGTAATGGATCAGTAATCTGTATCTAAGGTGGC